TTCGTGGTTTTGTTTGAGACCATCAAATGGATAGCGCTATAGTTTACTTATATTATACTAAAGATGATCTTTATCATTTTTGCTTTTGTACAGTCATGGCGAACCCTGGCGTCAATTTCGTTCAAGAGTACAAAAGCCGATACTACAGTTATCAACGATCAGACGGTATTTGGAGCCCCTGGAAGTGGTGACAAATGATTTTCTAAAACGCTGTGAACAACTGCTAGACGAGAATTCAGAATTACCAGAGGACTTTGATAACGAAATCCATAAATGGTCGCTGGAGTGTGAGTGAAGAAATCTTTCATTAGGAAACCTTTAGTTTTTTGGATTCGTAATTTCATTACCTCTAGGTTCAATAAAGCATTATTTTCTCTTCCATTTTACAGGCATCGGAAGAGTTGCTCTCGATACAAGACTCGGTTGCTTAGAGCCTAATCTATCGCCAGAGTCCGAGCCGCAACAGATAATCGACGCAGCGAAATATGCTCTGCGCAATGTGGCTACACTTGAACTGAAAGCTCCATATTGGCGTTATTTTCCCACACCGTTATGGACGCGTTATGTTAAAAATATGAACTTTTTCGTGGAGTAAGTAGCTTTTAATTTTAACTTTTAACTTTTATTTTTTAACATCCAAAACAGGGTTTGTATGAAGTACATCGGCAATGCCACAGAACGTTTGAAGCAGCAGGGTCCAAGTTGCGACGGCGAACCATCCTTGCTCGAGAAAGTAATTCTTGCGGAGAAAAATGAGAAAGTGGCCACAATCATGGCTTTGGATTTGATTCTAGTGGGCATAGACACAGTAATGAAAATTTACCAAACTTTAAAAAAACTCTTTTGTAATTAAGAGACATTGCTTTCTCTATCTACGTATGTACTTAGATATCAATGGCCGTCNCTCGTAATTTTATAACCTCTATGTTCAACAAAGCATTATTTTCTCTTCCGTTTTACAGGCATCGGAAGAGTTGCTCTCGATACAAGACTCGGTTGCTTAGAGCCTAATCTATCGCCAGAGTCCGAGCCGCAACAGATAATCGACGCAGCGAAATATGCTCTGCGCAATGTGGCTACACTTGAACTGAAAGCTCCATATTGGCGTTATTTTCCCACACCGTTATGGACGCGTTATGTTAAAAATATGAACTTTTTCGTGGAGTAAGTAACTTTTATTTTTAACTTTTAACTTTTAACTTTTATTTTTTTAACATCCAAAACAGGGTTTGTATGAAGTACATCGGCAATGCCACGGAACGTTTGAAGCAGCAGGGTCCAAGTTGCGACGGCGAACCATCCTTGCTCGAGAAAGTAATTCTTGCGGAGAAAAATGAGAAAGTGGCCACAATCATGGCTTTGGATTTGATTCTAGTGGGCATAGACACAGTAATGAAAATTTACCAAACTTTAAAAAAACTCTTTTGTAATTAAGAGACATTGCTTTCTCTATCTACGTATGTACTTAGATATCAATGGCCGTCTGTTCCATCCTCTATCAGCTTGCAACGCGCCCTGCCGAACAAGAAAAAGTGCGTGAGGAACTAAAACGGGTATTGACTGATGCAGATACTGAACTATCCATTCAACGACTTGAACAGATGCACTACCTAAAAGCGTTTATTAAAGAGGTATTCCGCATGTACAGCACAGTAATTGGCAATGGTCGCACGCTGCAGGAGGATACAGTCATCTGCGGCTACAGGATACCCAAAGGCGTGAGTAGTTTATAAAATTTCCGAGTGCAGTGTATTTCCAATTTCAATTACAGGTGCAAGCGGTTTTCCCCACATTGGTTACCGGGCAAATGGAGGAGTTTGTCTCAGATGCAGCAACCTTCAAACCTGAGCGTTGGTTGAAAGCTAGCCAAGGTGGCACTGGTGACCATTTGCATCCATTCGCATCGCTGCCTTATGGATATGGTGCGCGAATGTGTTTGGGCAGACGTTTCGCAGACTTAGAGATGCAAATTCTGCTGGCTAAGGTGAGTTGAAGTTAGGTAAGCAGACTAGGAATTTAGAGCCCTCAATTTTTTCTTTAATATGCCAAAAGTATTTAGGTAATAAAATAGTTTATACTCGCACGAGCTACAGCTTTCTTACAAGCTTTTATTATAATACGCCTGTGTGTAATCAAATCTTGCAATCAATTTTTAACCAACTTCCCGATGAGCTAGAGTCTTGAAATTTAGCACAGAACTCGATGACATTTCAATGTGAAAGATTAATTAATCTGCTAGGTGCCGCAGGTATCCAGATATTTTTAAAAACGCATATTTATGGCCCGATATGGTTCATATTTGGAATATATCGCTAGTATAGTATGGAAAGGGCGTAACTCACATTGTCACTCGAATACAAAAAGCCGTAACTAACTAAAAATCCAAAATTCACTTTTGATTGTTTATCTCGCATTTCGTCGCCTTACGTATACGTCCCAACATGGTTTTATCCAACAATAATTTTAATTAGTTATAGCTTTTTTGCATTTCAGCGACGATGTGAGATACGCCCTTTCCATACTATACTCAGGATTGCCACTAGTTATACAAATAACCAACCAAAATCTGAAGAAAAAAAAAACCAAATTGAAAAAAGACCAAATTTATTATCCACTAATCTACGACAAAAAGCACAACTTATTACAAAAGACAAAAATTTAAGAATTTGATTGAGCTTAATGCCGGGTTTTTTAATTAAAATTTTGTAGAAAACATTCTGTCTTATCCTGAGTTTCGCCTGAAAAAAAAATTACCCGAAAATTTATCATCCGCCCATAGTAAAACTATGGAAACGAAGAGTGAAAAGTGGTTCGGGGAAAATGAAACTTATGATAAGGCTTATTAATTTACATTTTGGTAGACGTTATAGCTGTTATTTTGGAAATCAAAAATTATTGAAGTATTTGTGCCTTCCATCACATATTTACTTTTTATATGAGCATATAAATATGTTACATTAAAAATAGTAATTTGAAAAATTCATTTATGGCATTCAGTATTCAATAATTTCTAATAAAAAAAAACAGCCAAACCAGAGAAAAAACTACCAAAAACCAAATTAGAAAAATTAAGGCAAAACAACCAAATAAATCACGTTCCACAACGTTGATGAAAAGTTTTTGTTCTCCTTTAGACTTATCAAATTTTCTGTGTATCACTGAACAAAAATTGTTAGGAATAAAACCTCGCTTTTATAAAACGAAGAATTTTTAATTTTTCAAAATATAAATTTTTAGAAAGTGGACTTAGCAACTTTTCACTCCAAACTATCGAAATGTACGAACCTACATACGTACATATGTATGCATGTATATTTATTAAAAATCATCTCTATTTCACCATTTTTACAGCTTCTTCGAAATTACAAATTGGAATACAATCACAAACCTTTGGATTATGCAGTCACATTTATGTACGCTCCAGATGGGCCATTGCGGTTCAAGATGACTAGAATTGGATAAATGCTCGAAAGTATTGAAAAAAAACAATATTTGCCTTAGCAGATTCAGGGCAGGAAAATTCGTTAGCTCAATTTTCGACTGCAGCTTGGAAATAACTTCGAGAATGTGAATCGATTGAACAGGATTTTTTTAAAAATCATCGAACGTAGTCAAAAGCTTTTATTTTTCGAATAGTGGGAGTTAAGTGATGGTTTTAATTTCATTTTGTTAGATATTAATGGGCCGATTATGGATAGCAACGCAACCTGAAATGAAAATGTATATTATAAATCGCAACTATAGTTAAGTGGTATAGAGTTGAAGATAATATAATAATAACAATAATAAATAAAAATAAAGTAACAGCGATCAAAGCCCATTGGCATCTGTAATACCATTTCAGCCACTGGCAACCCAACTGAAGTTCGGTTGTCATCCGTCATTGACGCCAATTAAATTTTCATCAGCACAAAACGATTCGCCCCGTTTTATATATTGTGGTTAGATCCATTGCATGGTTGCATCACCAAGAGAAGTTGCGGCTTTTCCACCGCTATTACAAAATTTATTATATTTGAAGATGTCCGCTAAAATATTTCGGAAAAATATTAAGATTTACGTGAGCTATACCGATTTGAAAATACCTCCAAAAATGGAGATTTTTATGAAAAAAAATAGTTTCTTAAAGAACTTTTTGAAAAAAATCCCGTCAGATGAAAAACAGATTAAACTTAAAAAATCTGCATATAAAATAGATTTCATAATTCCAATGGAAACACAGTACCGATTGATTTTTTTTGTATGGGGAGTGATGCAGTCTATTGTACATATATATTTAAAATTCATCGCAAAAGCATAGTACGTAGTTCATAGTAAATTAATAAATACATATATGTTTATATAACAAATATTTTTGGAGTTTTTTTCAATATTTAGCAACAAAAGTAAATTTATCACACAAGTTTATTTCTGATATCAAAAGGAAGTATGGTACATATTTTTTTATGTAGTGCCGGACAAAAGTATTGGCACAGTGAATTTTTCGCAATATAAGCAAAATTTTTGATTATAATTTACTTTCGATAATTTTTAATAAAAACTCAGTTCATTCTACCCCAAAAGCATAAAAATTAAATCTCTATACTTTATGCAAAACTCGGGAAAATTCAATACATTTGCACACTAATCTGCAACTTTCTATTCAGATTTTTAAGAAAATTCTAAGTATGCAGTTTTATAGCCATTAAATATTGGTATAACAAAGTGTAAGTTTGAAGTTGCTAAAAAATCATGTTGATTTTTGGCAATTTTTTTTCACGCACGTTCTTTCGTACAAACTATAGAACAATTATTTTTTGTATGGAGAAAATGAGCAAAATCTTCCACTAAAAAACTTGCCAAAAATGAACGCGGTTTTCTAGCAACCTCAAACTTTCAATTTGTTATATAGAATTTTCCTAAGTATTGCACAAAGTTTAAAGGTTTTATGTTTGTGTTTTCGAAAATAAATAACAATAAAAAACTTTGCTTATATGAATTCCGAAAAAATCACGTGCCAATACTTTTGCCGGGCACTGTATGTAGATACAAACGTTTATTATTCTCCTAAAAATAATTCGTATAATCAATTGTGCGTGTGTACTACAACAACAAACTACTTCCGCTTCCATGCTTTGTACCAATTCTTAATAGTTTTCAAACTTTGTTCAGCATCCAGTTTAGTATCTCCTTTTAATTCAAAAACAATCTCTGGTTTATAAGATTCACGAGCCTCTTCCAGCACTGTGCCGAAAATTTCACATTCAAGATTAGATTTAAGTTTCTTTTCATTGTATCCGCGCTCTTTTAGTCGATCAAAAAGCTGTGTGTTCGAGCAAGTTATAACAAAAATAGCTTGGAACCAACGTTCTGGAAAGAAATCACAGCCATGGTATTCGACAATATTGCCAGCCTGCTGCATGAAAGGTTCCATGTAATCCATAAGCTATAGACAATTAAAACATTCAATTATTTACTTTCTATTGTAGCATTAAAATAATAACTTAAATACCTTGTCCTCATCCAGTAGAGGACATTCGTATTCATCATCGTACTCCTCAACAAAATCGTTTTCCTTCGCAATTTTGGAGCAATCTAGCCAATTGAGTTTTAATTGCTCGGCTATTCTTTCGCATAAGTAAGACTTTCCTGCACCAGGTGTTCCTAAAATCATAATTAATATGTACTAAGTAGAGTGCGGACACTTCAACGGTGCTGGCCTTAAGCCGCCAGCATGTTGGTTTTATGCTTTCATTCATACCTGTAATTAGTATGTTGGGCTTGGCATCTACTTTCTCATCAGTTGTAGCCATTGTTATTTGTAATTAATAACAATCGAAGTTTTGTTTACTATGCGGGCAGAAATTTGATTTCCCACAAGCGTGTTTTTTTCTCAAAGGGTTTTAAATGTAAGGATTTTGAAAAAACATCGATGCATCGAAAATATCGATGTTTTGCTTCGATGTATCGAAAATTTTCCACTCGATTTTTACATAGTCGATGCATCGGTATTTTCTGCAAACTGATATAGCTAGTACATCGAACGGCCAAACATTGCTTTGGCTGAAAATCAAAAAAGGTGTTCGCACGAGGCGATTTTGCGTTCAACTTTTGCTTTCAACTCCCGCAGGGTTGCACGAAAAAAAAAATGAATGGCTAAAAATATAAAAATATAAAAAAATGCATTGCATTGTTCAACTTTGCATTCTACTTTTGGTTGAACGGCCTTTCAACTAATCGCTTTCAACAAAGTTGGTCGCCAGCCAAAATTTAGCCATTCAACTTTTTTTTTCCTGCAATCCTGCGTGAGTTGAAAGCAAAATTTGAACGCAAAATCGCCTCGTGCGATTACCTTTAAAGAAAGCAAAATGCAGTTTTATAACTTATAAAATTTTGGTATAATACACTGCAAGTTTCAATTCTTTTGATTTTTAATATTTTTTTATTTGGCTACTTGTACTTTGTTATATTAAAATTTAATGAGCTGTAAAACTGCATACACAGAAATGTTCTAAATGTTTAATTTCCATAGTGGAAGAAAACTCTCAGCTTATCGATGCATCGATGCACGCCCTCCGATACATCGACAAATATCGATGTAAGTCGCGATGCTTCGATGCGAGGAAAATCAACTATGTATTTATGCCACTGACATTCCTAGATAAATGTCAAAAAGAAAAGTAAATAAACAGCTGAACAGCTAAGACACAAACCTAAAGCAAATCACTTGGAAATTCCTCATAAAAAATTCCTCAGTGCAAATATTGGTTAGTGTGGCCACATTAATCAATTCTCATTCAAACGATCATTCTTTTGAAATCTTATTGGGCTTATCTGTTTTTCAAAGAAATATCTAAAAGTGTTGAGGGGGTGTAATTAGATTGCAGGATAGTATTCAGCATAGGAGAAGAAGTTTATTATTTGATGAGAAGATTTTGATGTTATCTTCCGGATTGTAGAATACTGAGAAGCAAGTGTTGGTTGTTGTTTTTATATTACTGCTCGCTCTTATTTTGGAATAGAATAGCAAATACAATTTTTCTCAACGGATACTTTGTAATACATACAAACATACAAATGTAGCTCAAGGTCACAAGGTGGAAAACAAGGAGCATCGTCAAAACTTCATTCCGTAAATAGATTTCATATAGTGCGGATCATTTATTGCGCGCGCAGTTTGTACTGTATCCACACTAAAAGTGTGGGGTATCACTAAGATAAAATGGAAGCAAATGATCTTTCGCACGATCTACAAACTCAGTCAGTAGCAAAGGAGTGTGCTTTGGAAATATCAAATAATGCGCTTTTGGGCAGCACATCTTCTACTAAACCACAAATTTTGCCAGATACTTCAATTTCCTCCAACAGCACTCCTACAGCCGATTCCGCACCACGCAATATTCATATTCCATACATCCTGAATGGGGAGCTCTTTGAAATACAGACGCAAGACGGTGAGAATGTAACTGTCAAATGTTGCAATTGTCCCCCAGATCGTGTGTATCGGGGTAGCGTGCGTTCAACTGGCAATTTTCACATGCACATCAAGGTAAGCAATAACCAAAATGTTTAATTTATTTTCAACCCAGTTCTTAACTGTTTATTTTATGTATTTTTATACTCTAGCGGCGCCATCCAGATTTAATGGCGAAAATCTATGATATGAAAGTAAATGCTTTGGTTGAACGTAGAGATCGCTTTCTTAAAAATCGTAAATCTACTAGGCGTCGAAACACCAACACCATTGCCAGGAAAGGGGCCACATCGCGCAGTGGACAACGCTTGGTATGTTCGTCGCAACCGTCTTTGGAATTATTTAAGATCAAAGCGGCCTTTCAACGACACCAACTACAACAGCAGCAGCAAAATCAACATCAACAAGATCAAAATCAAAGCCAACTTAAGAGTGAAAAAAGCCCCGATAATATGCATAAGGTGAGACATTTTCATTAAAACGTAGTCATTAAAAATGAAGGTAATATGGTCCATTTTACTTTTCAAGCGCTCAATGTATAACATAAGTAGAAAAAGAATTTGTATTCCTATAGTAAATACTAAAAAGAAACCGTTACGTTCACTTGAAATCATACAAGCATTTGCACTAGAGGCAAATACTTAGAGCATAGCGAACCGTTAAAATATCTCAGCGCTTCGTTAGTGAAGCTACATATGCACATATGTACAAACTTAGCTGCTCCACTTAGTATATTTGTTGGTGGTTTCATCTCCCGCATTTCATACTGTACAGTAACTTTTTCACTCTCGTTCTTTCAGTGGAATATGGTCGATCACTTTCTGACTACACCTGCCTTTGAAAGAGCACATAATATCACAATAATGGACACATATAATGAGCAGCCACTCAATTATAGTCTAAAGGAATTTACCAGTGAGGGTACCGTTGTTAATATCAACTATACAGAGAGAGCTTCAGAGCTCGGTATAAAAGAAGCTAATACAACTACGAATTCGTATGTAAATGAAATGCCAGTGAGTAAAGCACTTATGAAATGCATTGCCTTTAAATAATTATATACATACATGTGTGAATATATATTAGGTGACCATGGTAGCAGGCGAGCAAGCGCGGGGGTATGAATTACTGGCATCCCAAAAAAACAATAACAATCGAACAGTTAATCGCATCTCGGCAAAACAACATTCACTCTCACAATTAACTCCACTCGCTTTAACTCAACATGATGATCATGCGGCACTTCATCCAATCAATAGTGATCAGTCGTTGTTCGGCCGTGCAACTACTGTGAGCGCTGTAACTCCATGCTCAAGTGATGTCAGCAGTTATGATGCTAGGCAAGGTGCTAATAGCAGGCCCTACAATGTCAATTGTAATAATTTGGGTTTTATTAAGAATGAACTTTTACTAGCCGAAATACAGCCAATTGATCTCTCTGTAAATGCATTACCGTCGGGACTTTCAGAATCTTCAGGATTTGGTTCCGCAATTGATGCAAAGCAAACTTCTGGGCATGGTACATCTACCTTCAGTATATCTGGAGGAAATATAAAATGTAATGAAGTCCTTTCAGAAGTGGCTAATGTATTGCAGAACGTATATCGTGAATTACAATCGCACAATCAAACTAATAACAATTGGCTTAATTTAGAAATAGCGAAGTTCAAGTTTTTACATCCTGAATTTAATTTTCAATACTGACCGCTCTATAAAACTTTGATAGCAGTACCCTTTCGGTGATATCTAGCTGGTCTAGATATTTTATTATCTGCTCACAGTTCAATTGAATTGTTAAGTTGCACTTTTTTCAATAGTGGGTTAATTTAAACAATGTTTTGTTAAATATTTTAGTATAAATAGTTAGTATTAAGCTCATGCCAACTTTATTTACTTTATACTTTATGCCTTATACTCTATCTTGTACCTTTGAATTATGGATTTAAGTTAAAATTGAAAGAAAAAAAATACTTTAATTGCTCTAAGCACATTTAAGAACTGTAAATATGTACATTCATACATACAATAGAAAAGTATTTAAACACAAATGCATACGTGAGTAAAAATTAACCACTCTTGTTTAAATATGTATTTTCGTGGCAGTGAAAACCAGATACACACTTATGTAATGCAGTAATAAATATACAAGTGTATGTTTGAATGTATGCACTTCGATTCGTGGGCATTAAATCTTCTAAAACTTACATATGTACTTCCTTATATTTATGTTTATGTGCATACACATGTGTATATATGAGAAGTGTATGAGTCTATATGCAAAAGAGCCTTTCTTAAGATGCAAACAACTCGCGTACATTTTAATATATGGCTTAAATCTTTGCTGGATGCGTACTAAGGGATGTTTAAGAATGGAATTATTTAAAAACATTGCTTAGCTGCCTTAGTCACTAACATTTGCTCAAATTTTAAAATGCTAATCAGCCCTANTACTTTAATTGCTCTAAGCACATTTAAGAACTGTAAATATGTACATACATAGGAAAGTATTTAAACACAAATGCATACGTGAGTAAAAATTAACCACTCTTGTTTAAATAAGTATTTTCGTGGCAGTGAAAACCAGATACACACTTATATAATGCAATAATAAATATACAAGTGTGTGTTTGAATGTATGCACTTCGATTCGTGGGCATTAAATCTTCTAAAACTTACATATGTACTTATTTATATTTATGTTTATGTGCATACACATGTTTATATATGAGAAATGTATGTGTCTGTATGCAAAAGAGCCTTTCTTAAGATGCAAACAACTTGCGTACATTTTAATATTTGGCTTAAATCTTTGCTGGATGCGTACTAAGGGATGTTTAAGAATCGAATTATTTAAAAACATTGCTTAGTTGCCTTAGTCACTAACATTTGCTCAAATTTTAAAATGCTAATCAGCCCTAGTGTTTATGACGATAATTGCCTTTATACAACATAGTTTAAAATTTAAATTAAAGTGTTGTAATAGTAACAGCTTTACCAGTTTTGCGGAATGATTTACTAGTCTTATTTGTTTAAAGCAACTGAAATTTCTTTTTATTTGGATCAAGAGCGTTAACACATATTCCAACGTTTAATTCATAATATTCATAAGATATTTAAGTAAGAAGTGACTCGCAAATATACATACACCTACGAATATGTATCTACATTCAAATATACATATGTACGTGTATGTATTATGTACCTATTCAAAGTGAAAGCATCAATTTTTATTCAAAGCATTGAAAAGANTGTTAACACATATTCCAACGTTTAATTCATAATATTCATAAGATATTTAAGTAAGAAGTGACTCGCAAATATATATATACGAATATGTATCTACATTCAAATATACATATGTACGTGTATGTATTATGTACCTATTCAAAGTGAAAGCATCAATTTTTATTCAAAGCATTGAAAAGAAATTAATTATCGCGATTTTTGCATTTTTTCATCCTCTTTTACACTTGCCGATTCTGTGTAAGTCACCACCGCTTATCAATTGAACTCATTCGGGGTTGTTTCCCTAAGTTTCACCCAAGACGAACCCCCATGCACAAATACAAAAAATTGCTCTCATCTCTCGCAAGGGTGTTTTTTACATACATAATTGTGTCCCAGCCTGCCAGTCAGGCAGCCAGCCAGGCATTCTATTTAACTACCTACCCCTTCCACCGTCACTTTTTATACAATCTTACCGCATGGGTATTGTTTATGATTTAAAAAAAAGAGACACAAAAGCAGGTACGTGCTCATGTACTCCTAACATAAACTCAGACGGAATTATGTAGATAAGGGTAGAAAAAAAGTAATCTCGCTTTTTTACTAATTACAATGATATCGAGAAACGAGCCAGCAAGAAAGAAATCTTAATTTTTTGATTCAGTTGTTTGGCGTATTTCATCTCAGCCACAATCATTCTCCTATCTTATTGCAATTATTTTTTATTGCTTTTGTGAAATTTACATTATTCATACATAACTATTAAAATATGGAAAAGAAGAAAGAGTATTTACGGTGTTTGATGCTTTTCTATTTTCGAAAAAATAAAACAGCCACTGATACCAAAAGGAAAATTTGCGCAGTATATGGTGAGGATGCGGTTAGTGAGCGTGTGGTCCAAATTTGGTTTTCAAAATTTCGTAAGGGCGACACAAGTTGTGTTGATGGACAACGTACTGGTCGTCCAGGTGTGGCAGATAGTGATAAAGTGAAAATGTTAATTGAAAGAAATCCTCATTTTACTACAAGAAAAATTGCGGAAATTATTAGTCTATCGGAAAAAACCGTTGCCGACTACTTACAACGCCTCGGCTATGTACTTGATGGCGAAGGCTGGCGCTTTGATGATTCTGCTCCAAAGTGTAATGACAACGACAACAACACGCCACATCTGGACAAAGAGAAAAGTGCTGCAAAAGCGGAGGTGTTCGGATACTGCAACAAAGAATTTGCATACGAAGAAGAGTCGCTCAATTGCGGTGTTCAAATTACCCCAACGGAAGCAAACATCTGTGCTCCTCGACCCCCAACAGACACATTCATAGATTTTGCTTATGTTGGAAACGATAGCTACCACGGCATCAACGAAAAAGGCAAAGAGAATGATAATACTGGCAACACTGCTCCAAATGTATTACCTTCATTTTCCGAGTACTTTTCTAATGTGTAAGGAAGACATTTGTTAATTGTTTAAAATCTGTTGTTTTTTAACCATTAATGATTTTCTTACATGCTCTAGTTATACCAGTTACATTAGAGGTGGCAGCGGATATTGTGCAATCGAAAATCGCAACATCAACTCTGTGGAGGCCTTCAATGGCGGATATCCGTTAAAGGGTTATGAGTAAACTTCTATCTAGTCAACAAAAAAAAAAAAAGAAAAAAAAATTGCAACCAAAGTAGACTTACATGCCTACTTGGAAATCCTGCCAAGTAGCGTACGTCTTTAATAACAACAAATAGTTCCTCTTTACTGCGAGTATACACTAATTTATTGTAATATTAAACATATGTACATGTGTAAATGTACATATTTGAACAAAATTTCTAAAAGTGCATTTACATGCTCTTTGTATTAAAATGTTTTTTTATTTGAATATTATTTAATTTTAACATAGCGTCATGTGAGATGCGACTGACCAAGAAATGATCATTAATGTAAGCGAAACTTGATTCCTATTTAAATGGCCTAAAATAAATAAATACATATACATATATTTTACTGAAACTTCACTGATCTCTTATTTCGCTTCCATGCAATTTAGTGGAGCGCAAATCAACAAAATGAAAAAAAAAACTAAATAATAGAAATACATATGAGGGAGTCCAAATGCGTTAATAAACTTACCAGCGAAAGATTTATATCTGGCCAAGGACTGTCACTCTTTGGGGAATTTGTATGCTGTCACAACAACAACATCGCCAGTGATAACCCATTCCAGTGAAATGCGAGATTTAACCCGGCAAAAGCTCTATGTGTGTACCAGGCTTACTGTAAGGTGTATGTTGAAAAGTAACAATGAACAAAGTAGTATCCGGTTCAAAGCTTGCTATTTCACACCACCCTAATGGTCTGATTATGCGTACTTCGCATAACTTCGCACAACCATTTGTACCAGTGCAATAGAAATTTAACTTAGGAAAATGTGAAGCAAAATCTAAACTCAACAGATCGCTAAGTTTTTAAAAGTTCTGCTAACTTTTGGGTAATGGAATACATACAAAGTATATACGAAATTTCAGTTAAAATTTTATGCGAAGTATGCATAATCAGTCCATAAAAGCTCAAACAGTCAACGACGTAACGCAGACGTAGGTTGACGCAGACACGATCTACCTTATGGGATTCGCGTGTTAACGAAAACTCACCACCGCATGGCGGTGACGTTGCCGTTGCTTCTCTCTCTCTCTATCAACAGTAAATTTGATATGCTGCTACGTACGTCAACCTAAGTTTACGCTACGTCGTTGACTAACTGCGCTTTAACACTTTTGCAACCGTGTGCAGAGTTGCCAATATCCTTAGCTAAAAGATGCAATATTGAGGATAAACAAGAGCCAAATGGAAGGATTCAGAGTGAATTTTTGTTCTGCTTTAGTCTGCCTTTATACACGGAAGCTTTTGTCGACGCGATTTTTCATACTCACTTTTGGTGTTGCTCATTTCATTTACACACGGCGACTTTTTTGTTTGCAATTGTTGCTGTCAGCTGCGAACCGCTAACTCAATTTACACAGACGAACGCGAGCGCAAAGCGTGTTGTCCAGAAACGGGCAACTCGGTGGCCCTCTCCGTTCCTTGTCTCGCTCTCTCCTACAAACTTCGAGTTGACGCAACAAACATCGCCGTGTGTAAATGAGCACTTATTGTGAAGTGATATAAATAGCACTTTCTCATCGCATTTATTTCGATGAAAATTTTTGACTTTTCACTTCACTTCCTTCAAGATAATGCAGAACGGGAATTGACCCAGGCCTGACAAACAGGAGCAGGACGGTTAAATCCCGTAAAAAGTGAAAAATAAGACATACTTGAGCCATACTTTCCGATCGACTATTATTTCCCTCCCATTTATCAGTCAAATAACCGAATTTTTAAAACACTTGCTATACTAAAATAATATAAACCACTTATAAAACCTCTAAAAACTAGAAAATTTCTGTTGATGAAAAAGTAAGGCACGCGAAAGTATTCAAAAGTGCCATTTTTACACCTTGTGCCAAATTGAAAAATAAGCCATTGGAAGTAAAATAGGGTCAAAAATGGCATGGTTTGAGCAAAGTTGGCAGGCCTGACCGCGAGCCTGTTGATTTTATAGCTTTGTTTTTTGCTGCATTTTCCCACGGCCTCAGTTTTTTATTAAGCTGTTGTTTTCGTAAAAAGTTTTTGCGAATTTCGCATCATAAAATTAAAGTTTGGAAATTTACAGTATTTTTAAAGTATAACAATGAAAAAGAAAGATGATGCTGAATGTCTGATAAGTGTCGATTCCAGTGATGATGAAGAAAACACGTTATCAAAACAAAAGGAATCGGATAGTGATAAAATAAAAGTTGATAATTCTTTTGTTCCTTTGCGTAAGGCTCAGACTATAGAGGATGATCATGAGCCGCCGGCACTTACAATGAGCGATGTGGAACCAAGTTCATCGGCGGTAAGTTTATTATGGTGAATATACCGAAATTTTCAAGTCCTTAAATTTTTTCTACTTATTTAATTATGCATTGCACTGTGTGTGCCTATTTAAATGAGTCATGCTGGCTTGGCTTATCAGTTATTCTATTAAAACGTATGTACTACATAACAGCAAATTGTTCCTCAGACGCAGGGAAATGGAATAGGACAAGATTCTATAGCAGTGGGAGCTGATGATGTTCTATCTGCTAATGATGTGGCTATTAATGAGCGAAGCACTGGCGGTGGCGCAACTGAACCGACTGCTACAATACGTACTCGAGTAGCTACTAATAACACCACCGCCCTGAGAGACGACGTCTATGAGGTGCTTTTAGTGGTTCCAATTTTTAAATGGCAATGAAGTAGAGATTGAAATATTTTTTACAGAGCTTGGATTACGATGTATGCGATAATGTGCTATTCAAAGAGGCTCAAAAGCGTACAGATAATGCGCGCTTCAGCATTCGCAAAGACATCTTACGTTGGATAATATTTATAAAAATTGGAGTTGTAACCGCCCTAATTGCTTGTGCTATTGACATACCCATCGAAGAATTGTCGGCTGTAAAATACACGTTTCTCAAAAATTGTACGAACATATGCATTCATACTTACACAAGTTTTTATGAACATATTCAAATTGCGAAATAAATAACTTTTCGTTCATTTTAATAGCCGTCGATAACAATACTGCTGCAAACATCAACCCTGATGGAAATCTTGTCATTCCATACATCTATTGGATGGCTATAAGTATAATACCAGTGGTTTTAGGAGCAGCACTTGTAACTTATGTGGAGCCAATCACTGCTGGTAGCGGAATGCCTCAGGTAAAGAGCTATCTGAACGGCGTAAAAATTCCGCGAATTGTACGCATCAAAACTCTGTCTGTAAAAGCGGTTGGAGTGGTAACAGCCGTCGTTGGCGGTCTAGTGGGTGGAAAGGTATGTAGTCTTAAATACTGTAATTTGTTGAATGTGGAAAAAAAATTCTATTGCGATTAGGAAGGTCCAATGGCACACGCAGGAGCAGTAGTGGCTGCGGGTATTTCTCAAGGCAAAAGCACAACGTTTGTTAAGGACTTTCGCATTTTCCGTGATTTTCGGGATGACCATGAGAAACGTGATTTTGTATTGGGCGGCGCGGCGGCTGGTGTCGCTGCTGCTTTCGGGTCGCCAATCGGAGGAATGTTATTCTCGCTGGAAGAAGCTGCTAGTTTTTGGAATCAAAATCTTATTTGGCGTACGCTGGTTGCATCCGTTATAAGTTCATTCACCCTAAACATTGTACTATCCGCCTACCACGGATTAAATAATTTCACTTTTACTGGTCTCTTTAATTTGGGAAAATTCGAACAACCGCTAACTTTTGAATATTTCGAATTGCCTATATTTATGCTATTCGGCGTAACGGGTGGCCTTATGGGTGCCACGTGGAACTCGTATAATACACATATCAATCGATTTCGAAAACGTTTCATTAAATACAAAGTTGCGCGAATCATTGAAGCAGCTCTCGTCGCGTTGGTTGGTGTGACGTTGGCATGCATTATGATATTTTTCATAAATGACTGTCGGCCACTAGGAAATGATCCCACTGACTATCCAGTGCAAGTAAGGGACTCATATTAATAACTATATGAGGTATTCAGATTATAGTTTTCTATCTTATGTTGCAATAGTTATTCTGCGAGGACAATGAATATAACGCTGTAGCGGCACTTTGGTTCCAAACACCAGAGGCGACGGTGCGTTCCTTGTTTCACGATCCACCAGGTAAAATATTTACTTGTCTTTCTAGTTCACAAATCATTTACCTAAAATGCATTATTATTGAAAAAAATTATGATTTTACATTTGAAGACGATTTTCATTACAAGATTAATTCTTTCCTNTACAAATCATTTACCTAAAATGCAAAATATGATTTTACATTTGAAGACGATTTTCATTACAAGATTAATTCTTTCCTTGTTACAGGCTCCCATAAGATCTTGACACTAACCGTGTTTACACTAGTATATTACTTTCTCTCCTGTGTTACTTTCGGTCTAAATGTGTCGCTTGGTATATTTATACCAACAGGTTTAGTTGGAGCTGCATGGGGTCGTTTGGTTGCCATGATTATATTCTACATTTTTCCTGAAGCTGTAAGTACTGCAATTTTCGATGTTTTTACAAAATTATATATAATTTTTATAGACCTTTCTAAGCCCCGGTAAGTACGCATTAATCGGCGCGGCCGCAAACTTGGGTGGCGTGCTGCGCATGACCATCAGCCTTTCGGTCATACTTATGGAAACAACGGGAATCGAAACATCATTCTTTTTCCCCTTAATTGTTACTTTAATTAGTGCAAAGTGGGTAGGCGACTACTTTACAGAGGTGAGTCGGACAGTGGATTATTTTATGTATGACATAATATTAAAATTTTGAGCATAAAGGGCATCTACGATATACAAATTAAAATGAGTGGTGTACCAGTATTGCCATGGGAACTTCCACCTAAATATGAGGGGCTTAATGCATCACAGTTAATGAGTTCACCTGTAGTCTATATTAAAAAATGTGACAGCGCCAATTATATCTACAAAATACTGCGACGTTGCAAGCACAATGGCTTTCCAGTTGTAGAGGATGTACAGGGCGTGAGTAATTCGCTTTCTGTTCTATGTAATAATTACTAATGTATTGATTCTTATACCTCTCGCTAGAATAATCGCGAAAATGGACGTGTCTGTGGTATAGTTTTGCGTTCGCAACTGATTGTGATTTTACTGAATTCGTTGTATGAGGAAAAGAAGCAATTTTGGGAGAAAGCAATTTCAATAGAAACATTTAGAAATGTTTACCCACGCTATCCGTCCATCGATGTTAGTATCTTATATTTCTATCATTCAAATCACAGAGAATTAAAACTATAATTATAAATTCTTCTTTTAGAGCGTACGTATGCGACCTGAAAAACAAAACTACACTGTCAATCTGGAGATATTCATGAATCCCTCACCCGTGCGCGTTAGCGAAGTGAGTTTTTGGGTGCAATTAACTGTTTGCGGCAAAATACATATATTTTTCTTTTGTAGAATGACTCGGCGTCTAAGATATTCAAGAAATTTCGCGCACTTGGCTTGCGGCATATGATTGTGATTGATAAAGAAAATCGCGTTGTTGGTATTATTACGCGCAAGGATTTTCTATACAAATATTGAATGCTTGCAATATATGAGCCGTTTATTTTGAAAGTGGCATAAGTCACATCGTACCCTTGTGCTTAAATAACCGTATTCTTGTAACCGAGTGCATCTCTCAATTCGCTCTATCGTCATAAACTAACGACAACACCTTCTACCTTTGGTTGATGAAGTTGAACGAATTGCCGTCGCATTCAGACACAAGTAACCAGAGGTAATTTAAGCAAAAGACTTGTGAAGTGACTTATGCCACTTGCAAAATAAACGGCTCATATACATAAATATATTTCTAAGTATGCGCCTAGAATGCTAAGATTTTATGATTTTAATCATCACTTCGAATGTTAAATTAGTCGTGTTATATTTTTTTTTCTTTAAGTTTCATATTCATATAATGATACTATATGAAGTGTGAGGTATTTTGAATTTGTGTAAAGAAACCCAACAAACATATGTATTAGGGGTCTTCATCAAAAGTGATAAACTGCTGATAAACTTGATAAAATGATAAATTTCCAATTTTGATACATGAAATGTCAAACATTGTATGGGAATCTATTTAACCAAAATTTATCACTTTATCAAACGTTTTTGGTGGATAAATGCATAAATTTCAGCAAAAATCTACCCTGGCAGGTTTTGCTTCGAACACATACAAAGTAAATGAACACAATGGCAATTTATCACTTTAGATGAGGACCCCTATTAGGTTAGAGAACAATTAGAAAACGATTCGAATTCGAATGTGTATTTCTAAGGTAGAAGGCTAGAGGATTTCATTTCATTTCATTTATTTAATAAATGAAGTTAATATCTTATGTAGTGTTTAATGTACGCGTCTAAAGTATGCCTTATATAACGATAAGTAATTCGTTCCAATTTATATTATACATACTTACTTTCATCTCAATAAAATTATTTTATATATAATTATTCGAGACTTCAAATTGTTTTTCGATGAATGTATAACTTTCAGATGCTAGCCCCGAAATGTAGGTTCATAATAATCTATAGATCTAAACAGAGTTGTGGGTGTTAGCAACGCAATCAATCAGAATCGCAAGTCCAATGGCATTCTAACAAAACTGAATGAGGAATGTTTTTTTTGCTACTTAACTTGACGACAAGATAATGAAACTGCTAATATTGCAAATTCAACAAAAGTATACAACAGACTCAAGTAAGTAAGCGCTATTAGAAAAACCAGTTTGCATGATAAGTCGCAAAATTTTGAAATATATACATGAGTAATGTCTTCTTTTCAGGCTTGAAATTCAACTNCTGATAAATTTTTAATTTTGATACATGAAATGTCAAACTTTGTATGGGAATCTATTTAACCAAAATTTATCACTTCATCAAACGTTTTTGATTTTCAGCAAAATTCCACCCTGGCAGGTTGCCACATTGTCCCTTTTGCTACGAACACATAAAAAGCAAATGAACACAATGGAAGAGGTAAGAATGAAACAGAACTAGCCGTATAAGTTAAATAATAAACAATTTTATATAATTATTTACCAAGCTGCGTTCATAAAAGAATGCGTGTAAACTGATAAATTTAAGCAATCTATCCATGTATCACTTTAGAAGAGGACCCCTATTAGGTTAGAGAACAATTAGAAAACGATTCGAATTCGAATGTGTATTTCTAAGGTAGAAGGCTAGAGGATTTCATTTCATTCATTTATTTAATAAATGAAGTTAAAATCTTATGTAGTGTTTAATGTACGCGTCTAAAGTATGCCTTATATAACGATAAGTAATTCGTTCCAATTTAATATTATACATACTTACTTACATTACAATAAAACTATTTTATATATAATTATTCGAGACTTCAAATTGTTTTTCGATGAATGTATAACTTTCAGATGCTAGCCCCGAGATTATTACTCAAATAGTTTAAACGAAATGTAGGTTCATAATAATCTATAGATCTAAACAGAGTTGTGGGTGTTAGCAACGCAATCCAACAGAAACGGTTTTCTTCAATCTTCGGATATATTTTCTTGAACGAACTCCAATTTATACGCCAACCAGAATCGCAAGTCCAATGGCATTCTAACAAAACTGATTGAAGAATTTTTTTTTTGGTACTACAGCAGCAACCATGAACGACTTTCATACGCATGTATGTAGCTACTTAATATGACGACAAGATAATGAAACTGCTAATATTGCCAATTCAACAAAAGTATACAACAGACTCAAGTAAGAAAGCGCTATCAGAAAAAAACAGTTTGCATGATAAGTCGCAAAATATTGAAATATATACATGAGTAATGTCTTCTTTTCAGGCTTGAAATTCAACTTTCATTTATTAAGATATAAAATGCACATCTTAGAAGGTTCTTTTCAAAATAAATATTATTGATGCAATGCGCTTAAAACACACAACAAATAAAGAAGGGACGATAAAACACAAACAAAAAATGCTTAATCTAACTTCATATTTTTCGTCTTGAAAATTAACCGCTCTAAAGCACGATTAATGCGTAATATAACAAAGTAACCAACAATTAAAGCAGCTAGACTAACAAATGTACCGATGCCTTCGTAAATGAAACGCGGTGCGAATATTTTCCATACCATCAGATGGCGACAATGAATGGTGCAAGCCAGCATCGCACAGAACACCTGAGAATGAAGATTGTTTACGAACATAAATTGATTTTTTCTTAAAAATATAATAACTTTACCTTAATGCCTTGCAGTATTAGAAACTGTACGGCGAGTTTGAAGGAACTGCCAAGAAAAGTGCCTTCATTCTCGAAGAGCAGAAACTCGCCACGCAACATGTCGTAGCCCATACCCTCTAGCGAAGCGGTAGAAGGTGTTCCACCAGCACCCGAAATATTCGGACTTTTTATGAGTTTTGGATACAGCGCGCAAAGTGAGAATGTCAGCACGCTCAGCAGATTGTACATGCAGAAAAAGAATACCTGTCCACAGAAGGTGTTTAGTATAACTAGCACACCAGAAATCAAATGCGACTTTCCAAGACCACTTGTACGACCCACGAAAGCAGCTCGCCAGTCTATTTGCGATAGCGTAGTTTGATGCGAGGTGGCAAAGAAGCAAAAGTGTGCCAACAAAAACCAGCTGACGATGCCGATGAACGTGGGTTGTAAACAGTTTTCTAATGAGTAAAGAATGAAGATATTAACGTGCTCGTTTTCAAAAGATATGCATGTATGCACGTGAAATAAACTTACCGAAACTAGTCGCCGTGCGATAGCGCAACGTAGAATGCACCAAAATGATGACAACCGCAATCGCCACACATGAAATCATGCCGATTGAGGCGCGCGGTTCGAGCAATACTATCAAAACCATGCTTAGGAACAGCCCAAACACAATGGTCGCCGAAGAATAGACGGTCGTTAGCCCATAGATCATTGCATCCATTTGATTTGCGCGCGCCTCCGCATCATCATACATACGCTTGATCTTTTTAAAAATCTGTGGTATGACGTTGTCCCATGGACTTATTTGTATGGGTGTGCTAAAATTGGGCAAAACGTAGAATGTCAGCAGCGGCGATACGCATAGCACAACAATCTGTATCAGCATAAGTCCGTAAATTACGAGCGCCATGGCGTCGATATGTGTGCGCTTCACGTTTTTAACCGCACTATGCGCTAGTAGCAAATGCCCACCGGCGCAAATCGAAGCTATGGTCGGTCCATAGCGTGCCAACCACACATTCGGCGAACCACCAGTAAGGCTGCCACTGTGTCGTAAATAGAGGCGGGATACCGTTGTATAGAGTACTATGATGACCACAGCTAAAATATATGTTTTACTGCTTGCCGGTCGTTTAAGCGAGAAGCCACCCGCGTTGTTGGAGAAGTCAGCACAGTTGCCCTGTTCCTCGCGACAACGAAACAGCGTGTACGTATAACGAACGAAAATAATAGCTAACACACTAAACAGTAGCAGGCGAACTGTGCTGGAGCGTAAGAATTGCGACAATCTAAAACGTTTGTTGAGCTCGAGACGCACGCACTTTTGCAGAACTTCATAGGCAAGCAGCAGAATGCATGCAATCAACAGGTATGATAGTATTTTCGGTTCTTGTATAACGAAGCTGTTGGAGAAAAATACACTTACGGAGATAAGGAATATAATTCGAGTTGGCATATTGCCGAAACGCTTTACTGATGACCAGTTATCTGCAATTCTGCGCCAATTTTGCAATATTTGGAAGACTAAGACAAATGCACCTAGGATATTGGTAAAGAAAATTACGCCATGTTCCTCCGATCGGAAGGAGAAACTTTTGAAAAAGCGATATCCAAAGAAACCAGCCGCAATAGTTACTAGGTATGTGTACGTGATGCCTTTAAGTGTGAATATATGATACAATTCTATGGAATTCAAGTTATTGATTAGCAAAAACGAAAAGAAAATTGGCAGCAGCGTAAACAATAGTCCTTGAGACATTTGTACGGCGTCGAACTTTACCCAAATTTCGCGACATGTGTTGAGTATAAGTCTCATATTGGCATTTAAATCACTCACAAATGACTTGAAACCAGCTTCATTGTACACGGTTTTTACGCGATGAGTGAATAGGATATATTCGTTATGAATTTGCTCCAACTCATCGACACTAAATGTACGCTTATTCTCCAAAGCGTAGCTGAAGAAGTACTTGTAAATTTGCTGCGCATTCTGCCAGGCGTGCAGTAAAAGAGTTTCGAATCTGCTCATATAGGGTACTTTGATATCAGGTACGAGATTGAAGTTGATTAAACCCAAATTCGAGTAGGGTATTGGGACGCCTAGTATTGCAGCGAGGGTGGGCACAAGATCGATCTGCAAAATAAGGAAGTAAGCAAATGTATGCGCGAATCTCTGCATATAATGTTCATAAATTTGCGAAACGAAGTTATCAATGCAAGAGACCTTAATTAAGTTTTTTCTATTATTTAAAATTTAAAGGTACAAAGTTTTTATTTTTAAAAATTTTCAATATTACCAATTAGGGCTTTATAAATTGCTTTAGATAGGCCCTAACTAATTTTCTTTTAATACCCTAATTTTTACAAACGTTTGTTAAACGACGATTTATTGAAGCTGCAGCCAAAATCTGAGTACATATTCCACTTTATTGAATTCAAAAAACTACGAAGGCGCGTAAGAAGAGTTCTAGCTATGAATTAAATGCTACCTTTTCACTTGTTGCTAATCACGCTATTCATACATTTGAGGTATCTGAAGCGTTGGGTAAATGGCTTTAATTAACATAAGTGGCACAACACAGTGACGTGTGTGCCAATGATTATCTCATACGCGTCTCGTTTTTGTATGTTTTGTAGATATGTTTGTATACATTAAAAAATAGTATGTACTGTTGTTGTTGTAAAGGCTACAACAACTCAATATGTGTGCTTTGCAAAGATAAGAAGTTTGACGCAATGCTGAATGCTTAGATAAGCGCAGTTATAGATTTATCTTTCATTTTGCAGATCGCATTTTTACCTGTTGCATAGTTGTGTTATCTGAACCAAATTCACTACCGATGAATTTATGACCTTTAGCATATGCGAACAAAAGNCATTATGTACTGTTGTTGTTGTTGTAAAGGCTACAACAACTCAATATGTATGCTTTGCAAAGATAAGAAGTTTGACGCAATGCTGCATGCTTAGATAAGCGCAGTTATAGATTTATCTTTCATTTTGCTGATCGCATATTTACCTGTTGCATAGTTGTGTTATCTGAACCAAATTCACTACCGATGAATTTATGACCTTTAGCATATGCGAACAAAAGCGCATTTGTCTCATCCTCAGTTTCTCCCCCATGGTCACCAGATGCCGTCATTCCATGATCCCCCATAACAAGCAAAGTTGTATCGCCATCCATTTTTGCTACAATTGATCTGTAACATCAACAAAATGTTTATTTGATATCCTATTCCAGACCCCTTTTTTATGCATACTTAATAACATCATTCATTTCATCGAGTTTGCNATAACATCAACAAATGTTAATTGTATATACTATTCCATACCCCTTTTTTATGCATACTTAATAACATCATTCATTTCATCGAGTTTGCGTGCCATTTCCTCATGCAAAGGCCCGTGTTTATGTCCACAATGATCTACACCTAAGAAATGTGCAATTAAAACTTGCCAATCGTCCTTGCCAAGTTCTTTGGGCAAATGTTGTTGAATTTTATTGTCCACTGTATCTAAATCGAATATATCAAAGCTGGGATAAGAATAGGAGCGCCTAAATCGACGTGGGTATAGTTCCGTCCATGTGCTGTCGCCCAAAAAGACGATAGGTAAATTATGTTTTACCAATTGATCAATAATGTTATCTTCATTAATCTCCGGTGATGCAAAATTTGAACCCATGTCCACAAATGTTGGCAAGCTACCCGTGGTAAGTCCCTTTAGGCGCTGCAGAGTAGTTGTTGGCGGATCTGCTTTAAAACGCATCAAGCGTGCATTGTCCGGTGAGTTTTGCATAAGATCGTACATTATTGTCAACTTATTTTCGAATGGGAGTGGAGCTGTAAGGTTCTCTTTGTAAACACCGAATTCATGTTTCAGCGCATCGATAACCAAAATAATCACTTTTGATTTCTGCGGCAAACACAAGTGGGAAGTGGCATTGACATCTTTGAAGATTTCTTGAACTATTTCTTCACTCAGAAAATATTCCTACACATTTTAAATTATTATATTTTTTTAAAGAATATAAGTATAAAAAAGGATAACGACTTACATCACTTTCATTTAAAGATAGTCGTTGACACGAGCTGACGTCGGCTTTAGATACCCGTGATAGAAGGAAACCTCGAGAGAAGAGCAGCACACCAGATGAAAGCATATAGGCCAGCCATATAAGCACGAGCAAATAGCTCCAAGCATAATACATATTTTTAGTTGGATAGGTAATTACTGGCAATTTTCTTATATGTAAAAAATGTGTTGCAGGCCGCGATTGAACCTGCTGCTGACTAGAGAAATCTAATTTTCAATACGTGTGATTGTTATTCAGTTATTTTTTTGTAAATTAGCTCATGACGTATATTTTCTTAGTACGAGTATTCCGCGTTCAATGCACAAATAATTATTCCATAATAAATGCAAAAAATACTGTCGAATACTAAATAGTTCGCAAGTAAAACAAAAAAGTAATCAGCTGTTTAGGAAGTTCTGTCAAGTTTAAAAAGCATCGGCAATACACAAACGGGTTAAATGAGCGGTATTCACCAAGCCCGATAGAATACACTANTGTAAAATAGCTCATGATGTATTTTTTCTTAGTACGAGTATTCCGCGGTCAATGCACAAATAATTATTCCATAATAAATGCAAAAAATACTGTCGAATACTAAATAGTTCGCAAGTAAAACAAAAAAGTAATCAGCTGTTTAGGAAGTTCTGTCAAGTTTAAAAAGCATCGGCAATACACAAACGGGTTAAATGAGCGGTATTCACCAAGCCCGATAGAATACACTAGGGACGTCGAAAAAAACATCGAAGCATCGAAAATATCGATGTTTTTTGAAAACTCGTTGAACCGTCGTTCCAGTTTTTCAATTGTACAAAAAAAAAAACAGAATTGACTTTGACCAAACAATTGAAGCGGCCCCAAAAAGTTCCGTTAGAAACATACTTAGCTCAGTTGCAGTAATTTATTTCAAATTTTGTACAATTTTGCTAATAACTTTTTTTTGTTGTCAAACATTATCTGAAAAAACCTATGCATCGATGTATGCAGAAAAACGAAAATCGGTGAATTGATCTATCTCCATGCTATCGAGGACATGGTTACCAAAAATCCAAGGCGAATTTATACAAGGTGGTAGCAAGAATACAAAAACAACAACCACATGTATTTCTATCACGGTCAAANATTTTTGTTGTCAAACATTATCTGAAAAAACCTATGCAAATCGATGCATCGATGTATGCCCATCGATGCATCGAAAAATATCGATGTACATTTCGATGCATCGAAACAAAAAAAAACATCGATGTATTTTTGCCACTGAAATTCCTAGACTACACCAAGGCCACGGTGCAGCGAACAAAGGTGGTGCCGTCAGTGATACCGCTACTTTGGTNCTATCACGGTCAAAATCTCAATTCTCAATTCGCCCCAAAGTTTATATGCATTTTGTTTTTGCTCATGATTCAATAATACAAGGTTAGATAATTATTGACAGCTGCGGTTTGACACTCTCTTACAAAAGGTTGCATTTACGGAGGACAGAGAAAGGGCAAGAATGCAATCCCTTGTTTCTAAAATGGTAGTAGAAAAGTACGCAAAGTAGGCAATTAGTAGTGAAATTCCTTTCGAAAATTCTAATGTATTTGCAGGANGCTATGCATGGGCATGCAAATCAGCAAAATCAGTAAAAGCAAAAACAAAATACATGTAAGGCGACGTTCCCACGACAGTCGGGTCTACGTCACCGGAACGACCCAGATTTATATCTGGCCAAGGACTGTCACTCCAGCAACACTCCCCAAAAACCCTTTGGGGAACTTGTATGCTGCTACAACAACAACAACATGTAAGGCGAAGGAAAGAAGAAGAAATCAGCAGATTGGAGAACACCACCTTGTATAAATTCCAAATCAAACAAAAATCGCTCCCAATTCTAATGCCCGGGTTATAATGAAAGTAACGGGACGAAGTGAACTGTCACCTAACTTTCTACTGAATTGTGTAATGAATGCAAATCGTTGTAATGCACATAAACGTTACGTAAAACGGAAGCATCTAACACGAATAGATCCTTACGAATTCGCCGCGATTTGTTTCGATCCGCCCGGTGCATTATAACCAGGGTATGATTTCCTGCAGGAGTGGTAGTATTGTTACCGGTCATGAACCAAATATACAAGATCAGACGAGAGGAAGAGTCGCCCATTATAATCGCATTTAGGAAAAAAGTAGGGAGATTTTGTAGGTGGTGGCTTTTTACTGCAATTTTCTTCATTTTCGCTTGTGACATCGTGTATTCACATAAGGTAAAGAACAATTTACCACAAAGACTTGATTTATAGAAGAATTTGCATAATAAAAATGATTATTCATGCGTTCAACAATTTTTTTTAGCGGGTTCTACGCCATCTTGTTTCATTGGAAAACGAGGGAAAAGTAAACAAAGCAAAGAAAACAACGAAAACCAAAATTAGCCAAAATTAATGTCCGCCACTTTAAACGCACAATTTAGGTAAAATGATGCAACAAAATGCTTTAAAATGTGTGGTCATGTTGAATTAACTCTCCTTTACTTGAACAAAAGTGTAAAATAGTGGTCCTTGGATGTAAACAAACGCTCAGCTGACGAACCCGCTTTCGCAAACTTTTTTCTCAAAACCAGTTACAAATACAACGTCGCGTTCTTACGTGATCTTGTATTTTTTGTTCATGGCCATTTCACGGCTTTGAAACCAAATATCGATAAGTTAGTAACACTACTAGGCAGCCTGCTGATTTTGGCAGTTACTTATTGATCTCTCAGGCGAATTTTCCAGTGAATTTATTTTTGTGGTTTTCCTCTGGATTGTTTACCATATTCGAGATAAATCTTAAGTAAACTTTTATACATAGAAAGGTAATTGACACATAAATATATTTGCAATCAACGTTTAATAGTGGGTATAATTGCAAAATAGCTAATCACTGATTATGTTGAGTTTATTAAGTGGGGTAACGAGGAATTTATATTACTAGCTGCACTACCCAAATCTTTATCTCTGAATGTACTTTGTAAATATGTGATGTACTGATGTAAATACAAATAAAGATTTTTAATCATAATAAACTGATAGTAACATTAGAACTAGCCTTAAAAGGTTGGAAACAGCACAAATCATATACATACATTGTGTACCTACATATGTATGTATAAGCTCATAATCTACTCCATTCTTTCTTAGTAGGTCGACTCTTTCCATAGCGGCCAAAATCAGTGTGGGGTTTCTTTCACTTCAATTCGCTAAATGCATATTAAACCATTTCCTTTATTTCCAGCGAACTGACAATGGCATCTTCCGACCTTCGTAAAACTATTGATCAGTGGTTAGAATGGGACCAATGCCGGAAAACCCGAGCTGAAATTGAGGCTCTTGACCAGGCTGGTGACTGGAAAAAATTAAATGAGCTGTTACTTACGCGGCTTGCATTCGGTACTGCGGGTCTACGTGGTAAAATGAGAGCTGGTTTTAATGGCATGAATGATCTTGTCATAGCACAAACAGCTCAAGGTCTATCTACTTATATGGCGGAACAATTTAGTGATAACGACCGCAAAATAGGCGGAATTGTTTTTGGCTATGATGGACGTCATAATAGCAAACGATTTGCCGAGCTATCCGCAAACATTTTTATACGCGCCGGCTTTAAAGTTTATCTCTATAGGCGTCTGGTAGCCACACCTTTAGTACCATATACAATACGTCATTTCAACTGTTTAGGTGGCGTAATGGTGACTGCTTCTCATAATCCAAAAGATGATAATGGCTACAAAGTATACTGGAATAACGGAGCCCAAATCATTACTCCACACGACAAGAATATACAGAAAACTATACTTAGTAATCTTGTACCAAGGGAAGGTACTTGGGATACAGCCAATCTGTACGAGCATGAATTACTTATGGACCCAAAAGAGGCTATTGTTGATTATGTCTATAAATTACGTGCCACTGTACCACAAGCGGTAATTGATGTAAACAGTCAAAGCAATTTGCGTTTAGTTTACAGCGCAATGCACGGCGTAGGCTATCCTTTCATAAATGACACCTTCGCTGCGATTAAATTGAAACCCGTTATTGCTGTAGAAGAACAAAGGGATGCTGATCCAGAGTTTCCAACTGTAGTATTTCCAAATCCAGAAGAAGGGAAAAGCGCTCTAGAATTGTCGATAAAGAAAGCTGACAGCACTGGTTGCACGATCATACTCGCTAATGATCCAGACGCTGATCGTTTGGCTCTGGCTACCAAAAATACAAACACCGGTAAATGGAAGGTATAAAGTTATTTTGTAGTACTTAATATAAACGAAATTTTATAGAGTAATTTAATTTTTAGGTTTATAGTGGCAATGAAATCGGTGCATTACTAGGTTGGTGGGCAATTCATCTCTATCAGCAATCAAATTCAGAGGCTAGTCTCTCCAACTGCTACATGCTTGCAAGCACTGTTAGCTCTAAAATACTGAAAGCATTTGCACAAAAGCATGGTTTTCATTTCATTGAGACTTTAACTGGTTTTAAATGGATGGGTAATGAATCTGATGAATTGATGAAAAATGGCAAGACCGTATTATTTGCTTTCGAAGAGGCAATAGGATTTATGTTTTCTACAAATGTCTTGGACAAGGATGGTGTAAGCGCAGCATGTCACCTGGCCTCAATGGCCTGCTACCTAGAAGCGAAAGAGAAGATTACATTTGATGAAAAATTGGAAAATATATACAAAGAATATGGATTCCATTATAATATTTCATCTTACTATTTTTGTTATGAACCACCAGTAATTAAAAAGATTTTCGAACATTTGCGTAATTTCAAAGGCGAACCAAAAACTTATCCGTTTTCAATACTTGACGGAAAGTATAAGATTAAGCATATACGCGATTTAACTAACGGTAAGTATCTATCAGCCCATCAAAACCATTTGATGTTTCAAATAATGTGAAATCCCTTGATAGGCGTTGATACCTCACAACCTAATGGTAAGGCCATTTTGCCGGTTAGTGCGAGCAGCCAAATGATTACTTTCACCTTCGAGAATGGATTGGTGATAACATTGCGTACCAGCGGTACGGAACCGAAAATTAAATACTATGCCGAAATGTGTGCACAACCAGATCAAAGGGATTTTGATGTGCTAATAAATACCACAAATGAGATGGTTTCAGCAATTGTACAAGAATTTTTGCAACCAAATGATAATAACCTAACACCAAAAGCTGATTAAACGCTTGTGGGAAGGAAATGAAAGCTCAACTAATACATCTTGAAAGTATTGATACTTACATTTACACTCAAGCCCATAGATATTGCTTAATGGGCGCGCAAAACCAAATGGCTGTTCGGACTTTCTCCGTTTTCACTTCATCAATTGTGTTATTATGAAACGTTAAAACATTCCGAATAGGCAGACAAATTAAATACATGTCGTTACCTTAATATAGAAAGACCCTATCTCACGTAGTCGTTGATTGACTATGATGCATTTCATCGTTTTATGCAATACAAAATTTTAGTNGCATTTACACTCAAGCCCATAGATATTGCTTATTGGGCGCACAAAACCAAATGGCTGTTCGGACTTTCTCCGTTTTCACTTCATCAATTGTGTTATTATGAAACGTTAAAGCATTCCGAATAGGCAGACAAATTAAATACATGTCGTTACCTTAATATAGAAAGAGCCTATCTCACGTAGTCGTTGAAATACAAAAGGCCGTAATTTAAAATTCACTTTTTGATTGACTATGATGCATTTCATCGTTTTATGCAATACAAAATTTTAGTTAGCTACGTTTTGTTTAGGTAACGATATGTGCTATTCGATTAGCCGGAATCTCTTTGAAGAGGCTTCTTGGTCATATAATTTTATATTTTTCTAATATTTATCAGTGTTGCTTAAAATTTAATTTATATATGCGTTTTGTACGACGTAGCTTTGCGTTTTTTGCTTTTCTTTTTGTCATAGACAAAGGACCATAGAAACTATATATGTACATATAGCAATTACATAATATGTATGAATGTATTTTTAATTACCAAAGTTTCCTTTTTTATTAAAAAATTGCAAGACAGCAATAAAATAAAGCGAGAATTGTTTCATTTTAGGAGTACAACATTCACCACTAAATTGGACCTGGATTGCTCAATTTCTTCTTTAATTATTCGGGTAACAGCGAGTTTAATAGAAAAATTCGAAAAAATTGAAAAAAAGGATATTATAGCAAAAATGAACTAGGCCATTCTAGCATTTAGCGTTGCTGTGGAAAATATGTACGTACATATAAGCGTTTACAAAATACTAATGTTTTTTATTTGAAAACAATTAATCTTTAAACAAAAAACATAACCGAACTAAATCAAATTAGTATTGGGCCGATCATGTGGTGCAAAGATATCCGGTAACATATAAACATAAAAAAAAAACCGATGAATTGATGCCTCTCTCCTTTTTTTGAAGTCAGTTAAAAATGTCACAAAACTTTTATGAAAAAGAATGTATCGTCCGCCTTTTTTACGAAACATGGAATTTTAGCAGAAGCAAAAATTATAAGTTCTTATAAGCTTTGGTAATGCCGCTACAACAACAACAATCGATGAATTCGAGCCATCCTAATGTTGATAAACGTCTCCAGTTATATAAATAAACAAAATATCAGAATATTTTTTCGTTAATTTTTATTGGTATAAAAGTAGCGATTGACAGGCCATTGTAACGCAACAAGAGTATTATTACCAGAAAATAAATAAAAGAACATAGTATATACTATATACATACTATTGTATAAAACATTATAAAAGGTCTTTCGCGCAGCGCACAGACCGATAATATAGGCGCATATTTGTGAATGAAGGTATGTAAGCAGTTGTCAGAAATCAGCCATAATATCATAAGAGCATGTGCTTGATGAGTACTTTTCTTAGCTGGATATGTAATAAATACTAATAAATAAATATATGCATGCATTTGTTGTATTTTTTTTTCAAAAACGCATTTTTTAAATAGCTTTTACAACTAAAAAATAAAGTCATTAGCTAGAAAATAAGTAGGAAAATTCGCACTATAAATATTTGATAGCTTATTCATAATTTCCAGTACGTTAAAGTTCGTATGCGTATCAAAACAACGATTTTATGTACTTAGTAAATTTACCTTACAATATAATGGAAATACATTAATTTTTAAGGGCATACACATACATACACGTATATGTACATAAGTACTATTATTAAACCTTATAAAAATCTTAATNGTATGTATGTGACACGTATATGTACATAAGTACTATTATTAAACCTTATAAAAATCTTAATTTAAAATTTGAATACTTAGCTTTTATTAAAATTTTCCTCTTTTTCCTTAGCTTTTAAATTTATTATATATTTGCTAATGCAAATTTTAAATTTATTGAATACATTATATATAAAAATGCTTCGTTCTGTTTTTTTCATAGTAAATGAGTATGTAGCTGCATTTATTGTATAAAAACTCTTAAAACTGGCAGTTGGGCAGTCTCCAACTTTGTGGTTTATTTGTCAGTATTTCCTGTTAGTAACTCTTTTTTTATACCGAGTTAAAATTAAGGTTTTAGTTTATTTCGAGTTGGTCGAGAAAATTTAAGTTTACAGTTATATTTATATTTATATAAATGCAAAAATTGCTGTAAATTGTGTTTGATTATGTAGTAGGAAATGTAGAGAACTTTGTATGGTATGTAAGTACATTAAGCGAACATGCCTTGTAGAAAAATATCCCTATGATTGGATAGTAGTAAGAACTTATTATTTATATCTTAAGAATACAAATTTAACTCCATACGATTAGTGGCTTTCTCTTGTGTTTCTCGATCTCTTAAGATTATCAAGTCAAATGAGAAGAATTCTTGAGCTTCTATTTATTGTGAACAAGAACTTAAAACAAAGATCGATCCCCATTCTAGGTGATCTCAGCACTCTTGATTTGGTGGTTGATGTATGCTGAGATCCACTCCAAAATAAAGCATTGCAGTATTAAAAAAAAAAAACGCGAGTACATATTTATCTTTTTACATAACTCTATTGTAAAGCATAAAATAAAAAAGGACTCATATATTACCGAANCAATAACTTAAAACAAAACAAAAAAGAACTTAAAACAAAGATCGATCCCCATTCTAGGTGATTTCAGCACTCTTGATTTCGTGGTCGATGTATGCTGAAATCCACTCCAAAATAAAGCATTGCAGTATTAAAAAAAACGCGAGTACATATTTATCTTTTTAGATAACTCTATTGTAAAGCATAAAATAAAAAAGGACTCATATATTACCGAATTTTATGCACTGGTACTGCTCTATTCTATGAACTGCTATCAATTTTTCTTTATAAAAGTTTATTTTAAAACCTTCATACTTAAAACAATTATTATATGTAATACTTTAAACCATAAATGTATGTAGATTCGCATTGCTTTCTTTTGGCTGTCACTGCTAATACTTCAGAAATATTTAAGTTAGGATTATACATAGTACAGCATTGATATTACTTATTTGATATGTGTGCGTGTCAATAATTAGGATACACTGGGATTTATGAGTATTTCGAGAATTGTCATGAGCATCAAACGCCGAAAATTTGCGACAAAGTATATGCGAGTATGTGCATAGTATATATAGACCGAAATGGTTGATAGTGGCGCCTATACAAACACGTGCAGATATGAGGATTGCGTTACATTGCTGTGAGTTGGTGTTGGTGTCATGTTGGTGGCTGTCGTTTGTTGTCATACAGATGTTTCTGAATTCAATTTCAGCACAAATTTATTGCTTTTGGGGTCGACAACCTCTTCGGCTATATTGAAATGTGGTAGCTTATGTATGGAGACTAAAAGTGAGACATCGTTTTGTATCAGTTGGAACGTACATTCGTTTGAGACAGGCCGCGATACAAGCTCATCGCAAATTAATGACCATGACTGCACCCAACGACGCTCCTTTTCGCTTTGAAGTACTGGCGCTTCTGTTAGATATGGTTCCAGAAAAGCACGCGGCGATAGGTCATGCTTCAGGCAGTGCGCCAAGTGTTTGAGTATGCTTTCGAATGTGTGTCGTGGTTGTTGCCGTGTAACCCGTAAATATTTTTGCAAAGCACGCGCCATAGATGGAAATACCGCTTGCGCTGCTTCTTGTGGATCGAGTGGCACTGCAGGTGCAGGTTCATTGTGTATGCGTTTGATGTGGGTAAATGCTTCCTCAGCAGCAGTGATGAGACGTGCACGTCGCTTTTTCACTCGGCGCTCATATTCGTGTTCCTCATAGAAGCGCTCATTGTGCGATGAGTCACGTCGTCGCGCATTTGCTGCTAATACAGCACGACTTTGACTTTGCTGTTGCGCATTGTTAACACCATCAACTTCGTAGTATTTGAAACTAGTTGAAATTTTGTTTCGTTGCGACTTTGAAATCGGTATGCGTTCTAAATACGGATTAAAAATCGGAAAATCCACGTAGTAACGTTGAAGCACCCAGACAGCTGCGCGTTGTATACTCAATTGCCCCAGCATGTAAGAGCGCGATACCCCATCTGGAGAACGAATAATTTTTACATAGTACATTGGCTGCTGATGACGTAGCTCGAGTAGGACTACGGCGATATAGTGTATAAAAAGCAATGTGTCGACCAAATTTGTTGCATAGGCGACAAGTGATTTGTAATTGACTGCATCACCCCCAGTTTCCACCACAACTTTGGCACCATTAGTAACCTGGAAATTAATATAGTTTTTAATACATATACAGTTAAGGAAAATCTCATTGAATGTACGAACCTGCACCATATAGAAGAGCCAATAGGCAAATGTGCAAATGGTAACAAGCAGTAGCACAACGGCACGATACAGAAAAATTCTCGGCATTGTTGCCGCCGATCGACGCATAAAGAGCGCCCACAGTCCTATCGCCAACAAAATTAGTCTGGCTGTTAGAGACACAAGTAGTCCCTTACATTCACTACTACATGCTAGTAATTGTGTGCGAACAGTTTGGGTAAGTTCAGCATGATCGAAGGCAGAGGGAAAGAAACCCATGCGCGGCATTACCACCATTGCGACTGGCGAGAAGAATGATACAAATCCAAGTAAAAGTGAGAACGCAGACTCCAAACGTCGGCGACAAGCAAACCCAAAACTTGTGTCATTCTCACGATGCCAAGCATTATTTATGTCTTCCATTGAGATGCTTTGTTCCGATGTGTTACCAGTAACTGCAGTCGTGTTTTCACCCCAATTTTCGTCTTGCGGCAATATTTGCACCTCGATTATTTCTTGTCCATCGCGATTTTCTTCACCTTAAAAATAAGAATTCATTAAATCGTTGCCTTGAAAGCGATGCCTCCAGGTAAGTACCTGTCATGTTGACGCTTGTCTGAAATGGAGCCATATCGGCGCGTTGGTGTTTACCACTGGATTTGGTATGTCCACTACGGTGGGAATGCCGTGTGCGATCACGATGATATCCGTTATTTACAGTGCCTCCGCTGCTGCTATTGCCCAGACCACCACCACCAGTGGCAGAACTATTATTGTTGTTGTGATTGCGTGAACGTCTCGATCGTCCGCTGTGTTCCGACTTTACGGATTCGTTTTCCATTGCAAACACCGCCAACACAGCGGTCACCACGTCCACACACACACACACAGAAGTGGGCGTGTTTCAGTCGTTGATGGGACTTTGGGACTTTAGTAATATTCAATAGATTTCGTGTAAAACACCTACTAGTCGTACAGTTTAGGTAATAAAAAAATTTTTATATGCAAGGGTATTCGAAGAATGTTCATGAAAATTTGCAGTTCTTTGATCTTTTATTTTTTTTTACTTCGACTACGCTATTGTTCTTCGTTCCTTGACGTTGCACTACAAGTCTCATTAAAAATACCAATTGGAAAATGAATGTTTTTTCTTCTACTTTACATGTCGTATTATAACTCGAATATTTATTTTCAACATTTTAATTTAATATATATTAACTTACAGTTAACTATTGTTTTGCTAAAAATTAAACAATTGGAATGGAGTCGAAAAATGCCATTAAAGCGAAAAATAGAAAAAACACTCCTAGATATTTTTCGCTCAACTGCGTTCTCTTTTGCCCCAGTCGCGTTGCATCTTTTGTTCCTCTTTACATTATTCTTACAATGCTGCCACTTAAAAGAGAAGCATTTATTAATTTACAGTTGAATGGCATTTGGTCTGCTATTTTCGATATAGAATGCATTATAACACACTTTTATATAATTTTGTGGATAAAGCTTAATTTTTTTATTTTTATTGTACGAGACACATCGCATCCTCTATTTTGAACTCTTTCTACCACATGGTGTGGCAGCCCTGCTGAAACAGCTGATTTTTGCAATCCTGTGGATATAGAAATGATACCAAGGAGTATCCATGAACCAAAAATACATATCGTTCGGTCACTCGTCCTTTTTCTTCTCTCCCCCTTCCATAATCAAGCGAGCAGAATTGAATTCAGTACTTGAACTGTGTAAAAGCAGTTTAAAGCGGTTTTTGTTGATTTTATTGACAGATATTCGGAGAGCAAAGTAGGAATGTTCGATATCGTATCGATTATCTTGAATATCGATATTTCATGGAACGATAATGGATTTTTTGAATCGCTATTTCAAGGTCGATATATCGAAGACATCGAAAATTTACCCGCAATATCGATATTTAAGTTAAAATTTATTTTTCATCTACAAAAAAATTTATGGGAAAATACTTAAGTAGCAGCTTTTGTGATTTATTTAGCTCTTAAGTTTGACAAACCGCTTGAGGTGACCGGCATGCCGTTTCAATACTCAGTAAATATACGAATTGGAAATAACACAATTTAATATCACGGTGCAGCGAACAAAGGTGGCGCCGTCAGTGGTACCGCTACTTTGGTTTTGCCGATTTTGACACTTGTGGTAACTTGTAAATAAACCTTTGTTTACAAACCAGCGAAAGAGAAATTTGAATTATAAGTGAGAAATCAGTTTAAATTGTGTTAATTTGCAATTTGTGAGTGATTTTTGAGTTGAAGACTGCGTAAAAACTAATGGCCTTATTCATAAAAAATAAAGTAGCCTTATAAAAGGTTTATAAATTGAAAAATGTATGAAAACGTCACTTTATAAAGCTCTTTAAACCTACTTTATTTTTTATGAATAAGGCCATAATACTATGAAGTGATGTGTGTTAAATTTCGACAGCCATCAAGATGCGTAGGTGCCAGTGTAGCGCTGGAAAGAATCGCTGCATTTTGTGTACATAGGGCACGGCAAAGCCGTTCTCGAAATGTTTCTTTATTATTACATTAACAGCATTTCCTCACAATGATTTTGCTTCTGCTCCAAGCAGCCTCCATTAGCAAGTTAACCAATCAATCCCGCTGAGATGCTGCCGCAGTTTTCTGCAGCAGCCTTAATTGCAAAGCAATGGAGTGCACTAAAACGTTTGCTGAAGCAGCCTCAATTGCAAAGCAATGGAGTGCACTAAAATATTCACTGTTCTCTAATAGATTAGGTGAAAATGCAATATTTTCGCATTTAGCAAAATTAAAACACGTTTTTCGCTGTAAAGTGAAGTGCTTTGGCAGTTTCAACTCGTTCTTCTTTTCGCTCTATTCTTTGTTTACTTGTGGTACACAAATGTCAACGCCCAGGACGGCGCAATCTTGTATTCTATCATTCTTGATTTAATATTCTATTCAATTGGGAGTAGGACTTTCAACATCGATTTTTCTGATATCGATATTGTTCAGCCCGATATATCACCATATCGATTTTACATGCAATGAATTAAATCGATTCATGATATCGATACTTTCTTAAATATGGAACATTCCTAGAGCCAAGGCGAATTAATACAAGGAGGTGTTGCCAGAATAGTAATGTTTTCACATCGGTGCTTCTAAATGTAAAAGTGATGGGTTTGCTGTACATTCGTGGTGATTCTCGCGGTAATTGTGCGTATAATTTGTTATTCTAATTTTTGTATCTGCTTTGTCGATACCATCTTCAGATTCAATTACCATGCGAACTACGAACAAATCGGTGTCATCTCTAATTTTTATCGGTAATTTATCGAAACTAGCTCACGATTCAAAACTTGCATTTTTTCTGAGTACGAAAAGTGAAGTTATAAATGTGTACATCCCTAATTTACGACAAAAATGTATAAATTTTTAGGAAGATCCTACATTTTGCAAAACACAGAGACAGAGAACTGTCAAATCGAATTTAGAATCTGCGCGTGAGAATGCGGTAATTCGCTATCGTAATTGGGGGAGCGAACACAGTAATTCAGGATGATGTGGGAAAATGGTAAAAACAATCGATATCAGAGTTACTCGATATCGAAAGAAAACTATCGGTTAGTAATTAGTATTTACTTCTACTGTTTCATCTCTAGATGGAAATTTTTGTTATTTTTCGTTCGATTTGTTTATAATTTGTTTAATGTCCAAAATGTCAAGCAAAGAATCTAAAGCAGTACTTAAAGAAGTGCGTGAAGCAATTAAGAATGAAAAATTCAACGATGCTATAGAAAAATGTCAAGTATGTTATTAAACGATAGGCAAACACCAATCCGAATTTCCACTTGATATCATTCCATTCTAGGCTTTGCTCCAAGATGAACCCAAGAATTATATGGTTTATTTGCTACTAGGCGCGGCGTATCAGAGTAGCAGCAAAGATCAGGTTTGTGAGGGTAATTACTTAAACAAAATCATTGCTATCACCATTGCTGTTCCATTTTAGGCGGCGAAATATTTACGCAAGGCAGTCGAGTTTTCACCGGCTGCGCCAACTGTTGCGCTGCAGGGGTTGGCCAACTGCGCACCGTTGAGTGAGTTGCCAAAAATTTATGAGCAATTGTTAGATTTAGTGCCGTAAGTTCAATATACTAAATAATTAAATTTTTAAATCTAAATACTCCCTTTTTCAGCGAAAAGTATAATTTTTATTTTGAAAAGCTCTATACAACAGGAATCAGTAACAGGAGCGTTGCAGAAAAATGCTTCAGTATTTTCAAAAGAGAATTAAAAAGAAATGATCAAAATGAAGACCGTCTTAAACTCGTGGCAAAATATTTAGCGCAACTTTGGCTGTTATTTGACTTTGAGGTTGTTGAAGAGGATGAAGCAACCGTAAGTTCTATATAACATTTGCTTATATTAATGTAGTAAGCACGAGTTCCCACATTTTTAGTATAAGCGCGCTTTGGAGGAGCTGATTGCAGACCCTAAATTAGAACACCATCTAAGTGCTTATAAACGTTACTTGAAACTTTTATACAAACAAGAAGACTACGCCAACTGCATTAAATATGCGTGTGAAGTAACTGAAATGTATCATGATGATATATATGCCTACGAATGGATTTGCAAAATTTACTGCGAACACCGGAATGTAGCAATAACATGCCTAAGCGAATTCTCTAAACCCATAGAGCACTACGTGGATATATTGTTGCAACTAAATTCCAATGCCAGTTTAGGACTGTTGATTAGAGCTATTAAGTTATGGGAACAGCAACAATTTGTGACGGCGCGAGATCTACTTTATCGTGTGAGGGTCTTACAACCAAAATATACTGTTGCTTTGGAATTGTTAGCGCGGGTGGAAATGGTGATTGGCGCTTGGAGTTTGGCATTGCCAATATGGTGTGACACGGGTAAAGAAAATACTATAGAATACGCCGTCTGCTTATCGCATGTAAGCAATGATGAGGTGCTGCTGCGCAAGGTGGTAGGAGTATTCAATCAACAAACGTATAAAAGATATCAAGAGTTATATGTACGGTGACCATCCGTCCTGTATTATACGGGACAGTCCTCTTTTTTGACCCATTGTCCTGGTAATTTATTTATTTTATACGGGACGCCAAATGTTCTGTATTTCTTTTATTGTCCTGTATTTGTCCCGTATTTGGTGTTTCGACGCCTTAACAGGTCATTAAAATGGCATGCCTATGAACGAGTTTTAAGTAATGTTGGTATATGATAGTAATTTTTTCCATAAACAGTTATTATTTCCTAATCTGAATGCCTCTGATTCGAATCAAGGAACACATACAGTGACCAAAATAGAAATTAGGACTCCACTTTTAGTAAGTTTTGGCTATTTTTCCTTAGTCTATTAAATGTTTATTATTCATTTTATGAAAGTAAAGCTCTTTTCCTAACAAAAACCATATACACCAAAGTTCCAACTTTGTGCAAAAAACTATAAAAATTTATTCTGCCATATTTCACCAAAATTTCAAATTTTTTAATTAGAATCTTCAGAAAAAAATTTGGTTTGCAGTTTTGTAGCTCATTAAAACTGAGTATAATAAAGTGTGAGTGGAAAGTGCTGCTCATTTGCTTCTCTTTAAAAAAAATGGTCGAACATACTTACATTGTATGAAAAAATTTAACGAATGTTTTTATAAAATTTTACGGGGTAAAAATCTCGAGAAAATTATCCTAGAAATTTGTGATGTTACTAAAAGGTTACTGTTTCAGGGCTAATACATCTAAGATCATTGAAGAAGGCTTTAAGATATGTAAGCTGTTGTGGAAAAAATTTTAAAACTATCTTTTGTCCCGTATTCGGCTCTCATAAGTATGGTCACCGTAGTTATATGGCTTCAGCAAGCGTAGTAATTTACGATGAGAGAAGTACAAACTCTTTCCTTACTTGCGAGATAGATATGCTCTCTTCAAAAACCTATTTATCTCCAGAAGTGATAGATTGGTTGTTAAAATTTATATCCCCACATTAGGTTTGTTCCATACGCATGGTACAATAATTACAGGTATTGTCTTTCCAGAGAGCGCATCTTTAAATTGGTAGGCAATTAGGAAGGTAAGTCCTCTGGACAATAGCAATGAGAATATTCGATGAGGAGGCCCTTGGCGAGAAAAAAAAATTGTGGAGGCTTTACGGGCCCTTACGCGTTGACGACTGCAGACAGCAAATGATGGATTGCTGAGCTGTATGAGCATTACAACCTACATAGTAAAATGAATTAAAGTAAAGTCATGTTTTACGAATTGACACAAACGCTCCAGTCACGAAAGTATTAAACGTGGTAGCCGCTGGTGATAGCATAGGAAGAGTCCTTCTCTGCGATCGAATGACCAGGACGAGAAGGACCTGGTGTCAGTTGGCACAGAAGAGAAGTACCAGTGTGGTTTCGACCAAAACCGACAAATGGTTGTAGTACCAAATAAAATAGAGAAGAAACGTTGTTCGAAAGACCAATTTTGATGTTCTTGTGCCCATTTGAGTCGTTTACGAACGTTTACCGGCCGCAACAATGTTTTTTTTTTGCAAACCAAACGAATTTTCCAAGTGAGTCCAAACTTTTGCAAACAAATTCTATAAATCTAGGAAGAATTAGGGCTGTGCGATTAATCGAAACCAGATTAATTACTTAATCAAAGAATAATAATTTTTGATTAAGCAAAGTGATTAATTCCTCGACTAATTACATTTTAATTGATCAGAATCTTTTTATTTTCAGAAAACTGATTAATCATAACCTGATCAGTTAGAAACCTGAAAAATTCCTGCTATACTTATTTTTCTTTGTTCTGCAGTGTATCCTTTAAATGTGCCGCAGAAAGTCTCGGGACCATGCAATCGCATTTGGGCTCCACGGTTTGCCAGACAGTCAGCCCTTTCGTCGGCTTCAAACCTTCAATGCCCAGGGGTCCACCACAGCTTCACTCTATTATGAGCTCCTAGGCTGTTCAACTGTCCACAAGCCTTGATGTCGTTCTAAATGTGTCCGTTTGTCCTTCTACGATGACATTTTCGAATACAGATTTCGATTGCGAAGACTTCCGCTTAGAATATCGATACTTGAGTGGAAGATCGACCTTTCTCGGCAGCCAGTTCGAAAACTCCCTAACTCCGAAAACTTTTCAAGAATGCCCTACTTTAGAATTTGATTGAAGAACGCCCCATTTCAGAATTTGATTTAAAAACGTCATATCTCAGATTTTGGTTGAAGAACGCCCTATTTCAGCTGCTGATTCAAAAACGCTCTCATAAAAGACCATCGGCGCGCAAATTAGCAAAATGTTGAAGAGCAACGCTTTGATGCGGATTGTGGCTAGACGCTCGTCCACCGGGGTGAGCATTATTGGGCGACGAATTTTTTGGATGGCGGAAATTACAGGTGCATGCCCCCAAAGCGTAGTCTTTTAAACGTCTGCCGTGGTCGTCACCAAAAGGGGGGCCTCCTCCTAGGTTTTGTTTTTAGTCTTCACTGAAAGGGGTTTAGCGAGCCGCTTGCTCCAAGACAGACGCCCGGTGAACAGTGGCCAAATTGGTCTAAAGATATGTAAATTAATTATTAATTGAGTCACCAATTGTCTCTTGGTTATAGCACACAAATCTTTGATATCGAAGAGAGTTCGCATATAATAAATTTTTGATTTTTACCATTTATAGGCCTATCAACTTTGCAGCACAAGAACACCGCAGTGATTGGTTTTTGAAGGTTAGTTAACATTTTCCACTAGAAACTCGCAATTTATAAAGTAAAAATGACAATCTTTTCAACACCTAGGTCAATCCACGCCACACCGTACCTGTGCTAGTCGATCAAGGCGTTTCGCTGTGCGACAGTCATGCCATCATCACATATATGGTCAATCAATATGGCCAGAGTCAACATGAGCATTTA